CTTCCGTCAATCACCCTTCGGCCGCCGTGGCTTAAAGGCCATTCTGTGTCGCTCCTCGGTTTAGAAGCCCTCGGTGAAGCCCTGTGGTGATTTCCGGTTAGTGTCGTCCTTCTACAACCCAGCTCACCTTTCTCCACACACTGGATCAGTTTATCGCTCTCCGCTATTCAATTCAGCCTCGGTTTCGTTATGTCTCCACCAGCGTATACCTGCCTCTTTGCCCATGTGGTTTCTCTGTGGGCTTGCGCTTCTCCATCTTCGCCCCTATATTCTGACCGCGCTCACCTGTTAATACCACGCAACCGGGAAGCCTGCTCGGAACCTCACCTGGTGATTCGGATCAGGTTACCCAAGTTGCCTGTTCTACTTCCAAATCTGTATATTCTCACTTTATTGCTGCAACACTGTCTCCCCGCATGGGACAACGACTCAGTTTAGAATATAAACTTCATGCTTCATCCGCATGAATATTTTGGAGGAGTCATTTGGTAGCATCAAGTGGTGTCATAATGGAAAACTGGAATTCTAGCATTTAAAGTAGTGCAGCCCCTCATACTAGGGCAATCTGCAGTAAAAAAGTTCAAAAGAAACAGGCCCCTGATTCCGGAGGAGCCTTTAAAAGGCACAGCAATAAAGAACTGTGCCAGAAATAAAGCATTCTTCTTAGAAAAGCAGTGGGCCAAAACCATCTTATTGATTCAGTGGGTGCCAGAGTGACAAAACAAGTAAGATTGTTATTATGATATTCTTCAATTTCTCACTCTTGAAAACCAAAATTCTAACTAAGTTTGACATGAAAAACTGCTGGTAAGAATTTAGGTTCTAGAAAATATTTGTAATTTTAGGAAGGAATTTAAAAACAAACACATACATACATATAATGAGACATGGTGAGACAAGACTCAATTCTGGAAAAAGCAAGAGAATACCTGAGATAAAACCTTCTTCCACCAGGCATATAATGCGATCGGCCAGAGCAGCGATCCGACTCACAGAGTGATGCCAATGCACATGAGAACCACCCTGCCTTTGTTCCATAAAGTGCTGTTACATGTTTATCCATGGACCATCAGAAAGAAGCAACACCCCATCACAGGTGAACTGACAAGTTTTGGCTAAAAATCCTTTAATGTCTCTGAAGAAATGTGTAGATTCTCACCCTTCCAAGTGCACACATACAATTTCTTCTGTGATAATTGTTCCATGAGACTATCAAAGACAAGCTAACATGATTTAGCTTGCACAAAAGAAGAATTAGTGGGAAGTTATTCAAAGAATAATGAATGTACATTTGCATAAATTGAAACAGAGCCACATTAGCTAAGGAAGAACATGCTCCCAGACACACCATATATTCTCTCTCAGGTCACTTAGGTTTATTTGACATGCAGTGTCTGTTCTCCTTGATATTTATCAAGACAGTTTTGCTCTCTTGTGGGACTATTAGGCTGCTCTAAAGTGGCTAAGGTGGAGCTTCAGGATAAAGCAAGTAAGGTTCCCTGTGGTGCCTATCTGTGGCAGGCATGGAGTGGACAGATGCAGTTTAGCCACAGGTTGAAAGGCCTCCTTGGACTGTGGGTTCAAGTCTGGTTCCATCCCTTGTGCTTGACCTTGAGTAGTTTCTTAGCCTCTAGGTTACTCAGTTGCCCCAGTCTGTAAATGGATTTGTAATAGTACCTCAAATGTTTCTGAATATACAACCTATATGATACACGCCTTCATTTACCAAAATTACTATTCTCCCCTTTAGAGAGAGGGGCAGCTCATCCTTCTATCTTATTCAGTCATTTCCCCATAGCTTCAACTTTACTACCCATTGGCGAGAGGTATTGGCTCCACAGACACATTCCCAGGTGTGCGGGAACAAAACTTTGTTGAGTCTCAGGATCAACAGTTTGGGCATTTAGACAGTAGTTATAGAAACTAAACTAGTTCGGTGATTTGAGCAGCCTAGACCACTATTCATTTGGATCTTCCCCCCCCCAGTTCATCCCTCACCAGAGGCTGAGCAGCAAAAAAAGTCAGACTGGCTGAAGCGAACACTGGAGCTTTGACTTCTCACCGAGGTTTCCCTCACGTTGCCATTGGCAGCCAAACAACAGGGGTGCAGAAGCCATGGCTCTGCTGTGAAACTTTCCAGACTTCCAGGGTTCTCTGCTAAACATTGGCTACCACTTAGGCTTCTTCTTCCCAGGGCAGGTGTTGACTTCTGACTGGACACAGACCCCCTCAAATAGCTGGTTCAGGGCTTGAGGCTGAGACCTGTGACCAGGCAGCACTGGACTAGGTGCCTTGTTGTTCCCACAGGGTTGGCCAGGGAACTCCATTTCCTTGGAGAAATTGCTGGTTTGTTTCCTCTTCTGCCCCCAGGCACACCTGCTCCCTGGCAGCTGGGTTCAGGCTAGTGGTTTAGTCATTCCCACTCATGCCACATTGCAGGAAAAACTGCCACTTGGCAGGGCAAGTCAGACTTGGCCTCAGAAACAGGTCAGTCAGCAGACCTGAGCTGCCTTCAGCCAAGAGGCAGAGCATTTACAGCAATTTCAGACTGCTTCATTCCTCCCTCCCAGCCACGCCTATTTAAGCGAAAAAATTCAAAAAAAACTAAAACTTAAAACTTTATGACATGCATTTTCTCCCTACATTCCCAAATAATAAAATATTCCAGGATGTTGAGGCTGAGGCTGGGAACCTCGGCTTTACACTACTGAGAGATGGGGCTGCAGAATACTAATTTTGGATCTGCCAGTA